CGCCCCAGGCTGGGCTGCGGGCGTCTTGCCAAAGACCCTTTTTTCGGAAGAGAGCTCCTGAGAAACCTGCCGCCAGCGCGTCCCCGCACGAACGCGCCCAAGAGCCACCTGCTTTCTCGGCAGCGCGGCCACACTGAGCAGGGGCTCCGCACAGGGGCGCCTGTGCTTCTTCCTCTTCTCCCAAAAGAACTCCCTCTTCCCCGTCCACGCGCCTTTTCGGGGCCCAGCTCTTCCCAAACAAGGCCACGCCGGAAACCCCCCTCTGCGCCTTCCATTTCCTTCCGGAGGAAGGCGATTGCCGTAACTCAGGGTTTGTTGGGAAAACAGCCGGAAGGCACCAAACCCGTCCCCAGAGCACGTCGGTTTGCCTCCCTGGCCAGGAGAGTCCCACCCGCAGCCCCTCCGGCCCCCCAGTTCTGCTGTCAGCACCACGCTCCGACGGCCGGGAGGTTCTGAGCACTGAGCTCGCCAATCAACAGACTCGTCTGATCCCAAAGGGCCAACCAGCCCGTGCCCCGGGTGTGACGGCGCGTTGGGGGTTCCCCGTCTCCTGCACCCCGAAATGGCACATACAGACTGCACCAGCCAGTGGAATTGAGGGTGGTTTATTGCTCCTCCAGCACAGCGCAGCACAGATGTAATCTGGTTACAGGAACTGGGCTAGGATGCCTCAGGCCCCCTTGAGATGGGGGAGACTGGGCCCCTAAACTCCAGCCCCTTCCCCTAGGCTCTCCTCCATGCCCTCCGACAGCCAGCAACCAACTCCCTAACTTCCAGCCCTGCCCCCCAGCCAAGGCAGCATTCCACCTTCCTTTGTTCCTCTCCATGGGGGGTGTCTGGCCACTGGTTTGCATAGTGACTCATCCTGTTTTGCTGGGTCGTGGTCCCCACGACAGCCAGTGGGGGTTACCCCAGAGCCAGCAGCATAGAAACCAGCCAGGTACCCCCACTACGTCACACCGGGTCACTGTATAGCTCAGCTCCTACCCCTCTGGTGGAGGAAGATTAGAGGGGGTCTCGGTGCGTCGGGGTCCCCCGACCCTGCACCCCCGGAGCAGCCAGAACGGTCGCCCCCAGCCAGTGAAGCAGAGAGGGGCTTATTGAGTGTCCCGC